TTCCTGCTGGAACACAGCTGGTGGGTTCATTTCTCCACTGGAGCAATTAAAAGGAATACATAATAAATACAATACTTCTGCCACTGAGAATGAGAAGCATCTCTGTTGACATTTTAGACATTTTATTTTTTTCTCCCCTGACTGCTTTAACTTCAGGTGTCGGAGGATGGTGGTCGTCATTTCAGATGACTACCTGGAAAGTGATGAATGTGATTTTCAGACCAAGTTTGCTCTTAGTCTTTCCCCAGGTAAGATCTAACAAATTTCCCATTTAAAATTGCATATCAACGTTGTAATTTTTATTACAGTAACATCTCCATCTGAGATCAATGCTGTACTATTGGGTGCTACACAAATGCAGAATGAGGGGTAGTCTCAGATGTGCTGAAGCAAATGTGATAAATATGGATGAGAGAGGAGAAAATAAATAACTGATAGTTACAGAACTGGTAACTCGTTCTCAGACCTGGGTTCTCACCACTGACCTATGTTTCACGTGTGTGAAAGTCCACCCAGGCACAGGGTTGCCCTGGCTGCAATGCCCTTCACTAAGCAAACAGAGATTTATCACTATTAGAAGCAGCCATTAAAACTAACGGTGGCTTTATATTTTTTTTTGTGCGGGCAGGGACCTGGACTTGGTTCCTTGCCCTGCCATTGACTTTCTGCATGACCGCGAGCGAGCAGCTTAGCTGTCTATGCTTCAGTGCTCCAGCTGTCAAGTGGGCTAACGCTGCCTGCTTCGGAGACGCAGCTGCATGCCAGGCTTGTGAAGTGCTTCAAGACCCGTATGGGAAATAAGCTACTAAAGAGAAAAGTATTGTAATAAATTCAGGGTGTGAGTAAGTGCTGGGAATTAGGGTAGCAGGTAATGAACATGCAGCTTTTTGCAGAGACCCTTGAGTATTGTGGATAGGTAAACAAAATACAGAATGAATGTTCAACTTGGATTGGAAAAATCTGTTACATCTTTTGTTCTGAATTGAAAAGCCATCAACTTACTTATGTCAAGTCTGTTCAGACTGCTTTTCTCTAACCACTAGTTATTCTACACTTGTGTATGTTGCCGGGGAGTTAGTGCAGCACAGCCTAATAGTATGGAGGATATGTAATATCGGTAGGAGTGTCTGCATGTAAAGTCTCTTTTCTAGATGAGGTCTCTGACATGGTATTACAAGTGACATGCCAGAGGTTAAACTGGAAGCCAGTGAAAAAGCTAGGAATTAGTTCCACCTTCCTTGACACAATAATTTCATACGATGGACATTAATCCATTGAAGACCCCTAGCATGTTGCATCAGCCCCTGATCATCATGATTTGTAGCAAAGTCCGTTTAGTTCTTCACCATTTTTTTGTTGACATCATACCTTTTGTTAGAACAACAGGGAAAAAAATAACCATCTTTAATGACCTGAGCTCTACCAGTACAAACGTGTGTAAGAAATCACAGAGTTCCGTGTTTATGTGGCGTAACTAACACAGAGAAAAGTTTGATGGCAAGTTCTGGAAGCTCCATGGTTTACTTAAGCATTTGCCACAGTTACAAAATCTGGGTTTCTTGCCTCATCCAGGTCTTGGCATCATCCCTTGCACTGGGCAGCATAGTTTAGCTGGCAGCAGGTGTCCCTATGTAGAATTATAAGGGGAGAGATTCCTTCTTGGAAGAGCTGCTCCTTCAAGCAGTAGCAGTCACAGGGAGAGTTGTCTCATCTTGTGCCTGCCTGAGAAAAGCAGTTCATGTTAGTGGAATGATTCCTCGCAGCCCCTTGTCATCGGTGGTACTGTCTGCAGCCTGAGTTAATTGGGGTAGGAGGAAAAAGACCTGGAGATATCCCAGCAGAGCTGACTATCTAGAAGGAGCTTAGTCAGTCAGTTTTCTCTTCATACACACCTGGAAGTAGTCAGGACTGTATACTCCGGTTTGCGTTCCACAAGAAACTGTGCTCTGTTATTCTATGTCTGCAGTTCATTAGGCCTTTATCACTCGCATCAGCGCAAGCTGCCCTGCGCGTGCTAGAATCACAGAATCACAGACTGGTAGGGTTTGGAAGGGACCTCTGAAGATCATCTGGTCCAACCCCCCTGCCAAGGCAGGATCACTTAGGGCGGGTCGCACAGGAACGCTAGAGGGGGCCCTGCTACGTATTGGAGTGAAATGTTCACAGCAGAGGGCTTGGGATTCAGAAACTCGCTCTCCAGGGTGAGGGCTCGTCGTGTTATAATGAGGTGACACAAAACCAGAAGCAAACCTGGATATTGTCATGTGTGTGCTGCTGTGGGGAGAAAATGGATACAGGACCTGACTGTGGCTCTGTGTAATCCTCTGCCTGTGTGACCTGTCTTTCAGGTGCTCGTCTCAAGCGACTGATTCCAGTCAAGTGCAAAACCATGAAGAACGAGTTTCCAAGTATCTTGCGGTTCATTACAATTTGTGATTACACCAATCCTTGCACCAAAAAATGGTTCTGGACGAGACTGGCAAAATCTCTCATGCTGCCGTGATGCAAAGTTGTAAGAGCTAGGTGCTCTTTTGCAATCTGTCCTGGCTGTGCCTCGGACCATGATGTCGTTCATGCAGGGTCTTTTACCACTTCAGAACCTGGGTCCTTGCAGTCGGTGTTTGGAGCTTGCGGTTGGGAGCAAAGAAGTTTCTCTAGCACTTTTTCATAACTCTCCGAGGGAAATCAAGGGGAAATCAAGCAACTGTGTGGGTGTTGCTGTTCAACTCGGTGAGCAATAGCATCCAGCATTTTGTGTACTAAGCACTTTCACTGAAAATAGAGAAAATACACATGTAAAGACTGAGTGTCTAATACAAGAAGGCTCTATTATAAGCATTTAATAAGATCTCAGAGCCTCAAAGTGCAGGCTTTCTTAAACAAATACTTCCTATTATTTTAAAAGCTGTTTAACAGCTACAGTAACATCTAGGATTGGTGTTTTTTCTTTAAATTCCAATGAAATCCCATGGCTGCCTGGCAATCTGCAGGAACTGAGGTTTCAGACCCTGTTTCATGCTTTGTGAACGGCCGGTGCCAGGAGAATGACTGATTTTGGCAGCCCGGTCAGGGGGACCCAGCCTGCCCTGCCAGGGATGATGTCCCCTGCCCTGCGCCGCAGCCCTGCCGTTGAGCAGCATGGGGGAATGCGTGTGAGCTCTCCCTGGCCCACGCTTGTTTTGAGGGTAGACAAGTCTCAGTCTTTGGAGAAACGCAGATGTTTTAATTCTTAAAGCACTGTGAAGACTTGAATGGTTCTCCCATTATTCTTAGCAGTATCCGTGAAGTTAGAGCAATTATCTTTGTAATTACAACTAATGCAGAATTACTGAGCTTGGTTTATTTTCTGTGGATGTTTTCCTCAAGTTACATCACAATATTCCTGTTCTGTGTTCATTTACAGGGTAAATCCCTTGTCACTAGTATTTTCTGAGGCCATCCCTCAGATTTGCTGTAAGTGGTTATTCTTTGCTTGCTGAAAGCAAGAAATGAAAGGAAAGACAGTCTTGTACCGTGTTGGTCATGTCTATGTTCAGGTCACATTTGATAAAGTGACCTTATACCAGCATTTTATAGTCCCAGATTTTATTAAATATTTACAATAGAGCTTTCTTTTAGTAGAAGTTCAGGCTTAAAAGATATATTTTCAGTGAAAGTCCTTACCACACGACATGCGGGATGCTGTTTCTCACTGACTTGACCAGGAACAGAGCTCTGCACCTAAGTGGGTCCAGATCTTAAATAGTTTCACCTTTAAAAGCCTTCCAAAACACATCAGCTTTTGGGATGCCTCAAAGGTACAGGGATAACTATTCAATAAAGAGTGTATTAAATTGTCAGTTGGGCTGTTTAAAATATAAAGGCCAATGTTACTTTAATAGAAAAGAGCATATTTTAATTAACCACCGTGGTCATTAATGGATTTCTATGACTAAGGCTAGGAGCAATGTTGATGTTGCTGTGCTTGTTGGACTTAGCCTTGAACTCTGCAGAGTGACTAGTAGATCTCATCAGCTCTTGGCACTCAGGGGTGGGAGGCAAGGGTTCTCCCCAACCCTTTTTAAAGGGTTTTAGCATTTTTTTAGCATTTTAAAGCGACCCGTTGGTGTATTAAGCAGATTTACAGTAAATACTTACTTTCTAAATTGGGAAGAGAGGAATCTTGCGTACGTATCTGCAGTTGCTTGAACTCTGACACTTTGCTCATTACTTCAGCCACTGAGTCATGTTGATATTACAGCTTAATGTTTTACTAGTTTACATTTTTAAGGTTGTATCTGGATGTGATTTTTTTTTTTTTTTTTTTTTACTTTTTTTAGGATTTGTTTTAAAGCATTACGAGGGTAAAGGTGCAGACAGAAACGGGTGCTCCTGCCGTTCCCTCACTCACCCTGTCAATGAATGGTCCCTTACCAGGGGCTGCTGCTGGTTCCTCCTGGCTGAGAGCAGCCAGCTCTTGACCTGAACATGGTGAAGCTTGTTCACTCACCTCACATTAGTGCCAGGGGCCATTTTTGCCTAGGCCCATGAGCTGGGTGTTTTTCAGTCCTTCCTACAAGTACAACTGCTGCCGTCGTGGCAAGGTGACGTTTGCACCTCTCTCCCTTGCTAGAACAAGTGAGAAGTCCGTGGGCAAGGGAGGAGAAAAGTTAGGCTGATGAGGGATTTCTAAATAGTTCATCTTCGTGTCCTATTGCCCTCGGGCCTCTCCTGCAGAAGTAGTGACAGCTGCTTGCCTCGGGGTTTCTGCATAATCGTTAAATATTAATTATAGAAGAGTTTCTGGAGGCTGTTTGATCCCCGGGCACTCCTGGTGAATTCTCATACTCTGAGAGTGTCTATAAACATGAATTATGGGTCATTACTCACAGGACCAAACCAGATTCCTCTTGTTTCGAGTGCTGGAAGGACTCTGGTAGCTCACGAGTTGGGAGCAGAGGCGGGGAGGCTGTGCTGCAGGCACTAGAGGGAGGCCATGGCCCGCGCTGGGATCCTGCCCGACCTGCTGTCACGGCCATGGTCCGCAACGGAGATAAAGAGGAGTGGGTTTTCTTCCTCTGCCCCTTACATCCTCTTCTAAGGAGGCTGTACCAAAAATAGCGAGAATTTTGGCAGATTGAACCTCGGTGGGGTGTTACCTGCGTGAGTCACGACGGGTGGTTTGGGACTTGGGATGTTGCAAATGAGGAGAATAGAACAGCAGCAAAAATAATGTTTGTAGCAGATGATCTGGTGATTGCCGAACGGGGAAAGTGCTGCTTCTGGAATGGAAAGCAAAAACAAGAGCTGAATTTCTAAATCTTCTGACTTTCAGTAGATAAATGCAATATTCCACATAACTGTGAAAGATGTCAGTGCTTCGGCCGGATCTCGTCACCCGTCTCTCTGTGCCCTGGCCCTTCTCCCTGCCTGGCTCGGATGCTGGGCGAGTATCACTGTTGTCGCACTGTTGCCTTATTGCAAGCAGTTACAATTCGTCTTGTAGGCTAAAATAATTATTTTGGGGTAAAGTGAGGTAACAGCCCTAAAATGTAAAATATGTGCTTTAAATAATGTATCCTCTTCTATGTTAAAACAGAATTTATGCACTTCTGACATTTTCATATCTGTCTTGTTACGGTAACTTGATGAAGGGTGACATCTACGAATGATATAAAATCCAGTTCTTGTAAACACGGTTCAATGGCAATTGTGGTTCTCCTCCCCTCTTTCACGCTCAGTGGAAGGTCAAAATTTTGGACACCTTTAAAAAAGGGATTTATGAAATTGTGATGTTAAAATTTTTTTCCCTTTTGTTTCTTTCCCTCACTGAAATTGTCCTAGTTGATCTGTTAGTACCAAATCATTTATTTTTATATGAATACTATATATTTATATTAATTTCTAGCCTGATAAAAATCTTTGGAAAAGCATACGTGTTTTCTGAAAATAGTCAATGATTCTGTGTTTTTTCCTCCTCAAGAACCAAACTTTTGCTACATGTGAAAACATTTTAAAATAAAAAATTAAAACCCAGCAGGCTGAATCCTCTTCTTGGGCATCGGAGAATAAATACTAGGTCTTGAAATGAAGTATTAGTGAAAAGTGATACGGGCTAGTTCTTTTTTGTTCTCTTGTTTTGCCTAAACAGCTTCCTCAGAGGAGGTTTTTGGCTGTGCCCGGAAGAGGGAGAGGTAGAGTTGTGTCACACCAGGAGGAAAACTATCAAGGAATCATACTTCAGACACGTATGGTTCCTCTCCTCTTTGGCTTTGTGGTCTGTGGCTGTCACCATCCTGGGCTTGCTTCAGCCCCGGTACCTGAGCGGCTGGAGGGGACGGAGCCAGGCCTTCGCTGCCTGTGATGGATGGTCAGCTCCTACTCTACCTCCTTTCTAGAGGACCCGGCAGGGGGTACACTGGAGTGCGGCGATCTGGAGGATTTTGCCAGATTTATTTCCTTTGGCTCGGAGTTGGTCCGAGCCAGGGAAATAACTTACAAACCCAGCAGCCGTCGGGCCAAGGCCCTGCCACAGGAAAAGACGACGGATGACTGAATCATGGAAGTGTTGGCTGGAAGGAATTTCTGGAGGCCAAGGACGAGCTGCACTTCACACCAGGAGGGGCTATACGCTAAGCCACTTGCAGGACAATATTCCCTATAGAGCATATGAAGTAATGTCTTCGCTGTGGCTACTATGAGCGAACATATGGACAATGATATGGAAACCATCCCTGAATGTATTATTCTAGATAAAAACTGCTGCCAAGAGCAGCCTGCCAGGAGACTCCCACTCCCAGAAGTGCTGGCACCCCGTCCCTTTCGGCGTGGCTTTACACCACTCACCTGTTTGCATGTTTTTGAGCAATTAATGATTTTTGCCTGTATTTGAGCGTGAGCGTAGCTCAGAGTCAGGTGAGGTCGGGGGTCCAGCCGTGGTAGCTCTTTCTGTCCGTCATTCCTCTTGTGCTGAAGAAAGATTCCCAGTCCTCCATTTCACTTTGGTGCAGGAACATCAGCGCCATTTCCTTGTTTACTGGAGGACAGCGTTTACCTGGTGAAATTCAGTAATGGCTGCAGAATGCTCTAAGCTTCAGAGGTGGAGTGTGAGAGATGAAGATGCCCCTTGATGGACCAAATTCCGTTCTTCATTACGCTGACATGAAAGAGTTGCTTTATCACGATTGAGGCTCTGCCGGGTCCAGGGGGCACATTCACTGGAAGTAAATTAGCATAGGGAAGAAAATGTAATTCTGCATTAAAAATGGCTGGGAAAATGCTGTTTAAGCATCCTACAAACATATTTTAATAAGGCAATAAGAAGAAACAAAACCCACAAGGTTCACATTACTGGAAAGCATGCTAATAGAGCTTATTAAAGAACACCTTTGTCAGACCTCTTGGGGTTTTACCAGACAACCAGACACACGCTGTGTACAAATATTTCTCTTAATGGTAATTTTCTCCAGGTGCTATGTTATAACCATTTTTGTTTCAGCTGATCCCCACCAGGATTTTGAGATTACTTTGAACTTGACCCAACTTCTTGATAAGTGCTATCAAGCCCGGCCTGGAAAAATTTTTATTTTGTATCAAAATCTGCAGTCTGGAGAATGGATATTGTTGTGTCTACTCTGGAGCTGTACTGCTCTGTAAAGCTTTAATTAATTGAAGGTGTATTTAAGTGTTAAGCT